ACTTTACTTGAGTTGGTCGATTTCTAGTATTTTCGATCGGCTTTGGTTTAACAATTTTTCAACTCGACCAAGTTAGGTTAGTTTCGATTTGGCCATTTGTAAATCGACAAAAACTAAACTGAATCAAACCATAGTTATATAATAATATTTTATATTTTAAATATAATTTTTTAATATAGGAAAGTGGGAAAATTCCCATATTTCTTAATCTAAAATTTTTATGTCATAAATTTATTTTTAAAATTTTTTTAATAATACCAATGTCATTTATTAAATTTAAATTTAATTTTTAAGTTTAAATCTTTTGAATAGACAAACTAAACCAAAAATAAACCCAACCTGATAAAACCTGAGTTGGCGGGTTTTCACTAATGGTCAAGGTTTTTAAAACTGAACCAGACAACGAACTAGTCAGGGGTGGTCTAGTTGAACGGTTTGACTACCCGGGCCAGCGGCTTTCTGACCAAATCAATGGTTTTTGGGGAAATAACGGTTCTGGGGTAAAACAAAATTGGTCACCTTCCTTGTTTTTCCAGTTCGACCGTCCAGTCTAGTCCGGTTTTGAAAATCATGCTAATGGTCAATCGATTTCGGGTGACAAACTCCCAACCTAACTAGGTCGGTTTGGTTGGCGAAATAGCTTGCAATCAAGCTGACCCAATCCTTGAAAATAAATTTATCTAATAAGAATACAATAAATACTAAAAATACATTAAACTAGTCAATAAATAGTGTAATCTCAAATAATAGTTTAGTCTCTAATAAATATTAATCATTAAATTATAAAAAAATACATAATTACTAAAAATAAATTTATAACAAAAATACAATAAATATGATAAATTAAATTTCAAAAGTTAAATAATAGTTGTTTAATCTCCAATAATTATTGACAATTTAATGTTAAATAACAAAACACAAATAGATTTATAAATAATTATTGAAAACATATTTATAAAAAAAATACAATAAATAATTACTAAAAATAAAATAAATATTAATTTTAGTATATATATAAATATAAATATATAATGAATATACACTATTATTGTAAAATCATTACTAATAAATCTTTTTTTTTGAAAGTTATTTTCTGTAATTATTAATTGTTATAAGTGAAACTAGTTATTTAAATAATATTATTATTTAATTTTTTAAAATATTAATT